CAGGATCGTAGCGAAATGGCACTTCGCCAGGCATTGGGCATAGGACTGGTCGTACTGCTAAAAATGTTGTTTAAATTTCGCAGAAGGTAAAACCAACGTTGAAAGTAAATGTACCAAAAGCTTACCAGGATCAATAGCAAACATTTTATCGGAGCATTCGCCGTTACTTCGTGCTGCAAATAAAAAAAAAAAAATTAAAGAACCGGAAGTCGTCCGCAAAATTTCCACATCACCGATGCATTTTTTCTGACCTTACAGCTGCTGTGGATGAATAACCAAGAGAAGTCGGAGGGAATGGCAAATGTAAGTTACTTGTGACAACAAGAATTAAAGACTCTCTATATGTTAAGACGGCATATTCGGAGAATAAAATGCTCTAATTTCTGAATGTAAAGCACGATGGTTGATTGTGTAACGCTAACACATTATGATTCAGAGGATCCGAAGATATTGAAGGCAACAGGTTCGAAAGTCTCTTCGTAGATAATGAAGATGAGAGGTTCGAATCTCATGTGGACCAAATCGTTATAAATAGGGGTTTCGCTGGAAAAACTAGAACCTTCCATCAAGTGTATATCAAGCCTCCGGCAGGACTACTTTCGAAGCAGATAAGCGAACTCGAGAAAAGTGCTGCACAGCTGAACTGCCTGAACACCTCAGCAAGAGAACTGTTGGCAATCAAATCAATGTAAAATTGCCTAAACTGTAAAACAGTAACAGCATTCACAGACTAATATGACAATTCGCAGCAGATTCAAACAGTTGAAAAGATTCTGCCCCACTCCTCCTGCGCCTTCACAACTCAACAGCGGTTGTGAAATTCGTCTTGCTGATGACAATTTTCACCACTGTTGTTCCGAATACCCTAATAAATTTTTTGCGCATCGAGAGCTCTTCCAAGCTCCACAGCTAAACTAATTCACTTCACATTGTGAAATTCTGCTCCACGTGGATGTAACTGTCTTCTGCAGAGCGCTGGGAATATCTTTGAATTGTCAAAATCAGCCTCACGCTGTCAAAATTGAGATCGGACTCGCCCAATTACATTAAAAATTATCTTTAAAGCAAAATGGGAATCTAAAGGAAGTGAAACTAGACAGCGAAATTTATGCACTCAGCAGAGACTTTGTGAACTGTTCGTTCGAAATCGATCTTCGCCCTCGCCGCCTGATTACGGTAGCACTCTGATACGTAATCAACCGGCAACAGGACGAAAAACGGCGAGGGAACGGACAACGGCGGGTAAGTCTATACGAAGCTGAAGGCAATTTGAAAAGAAATGAAACGAACACGCTCGCAAAATGCTCCGCAAATCATAAAAAAAAACCTTGTGTCTCATTCACTGCACCATCAATAACCTCGTCGTCCTTGTAAAATGAACCAAACTTTGCTCGGCTGCAACGTAAGCTTTCTTCAATGCGATTATTCTGCAAAACAGTTTCTCCGCTGTTTTTCACCAAAAATTGCAAAATTCTGCTCTAAATTTACCAGATCCCTTAAGCGATCCTTGTCTTCGGAGACGATTTCGTAACGGCGGAAGCCCTTATCTATGATATCCAGTATTTCATTATGGCCAAATATTTCCTCATTCTGCAAATGAAGAAAATAACAAAATCCTTCTTTATCTTAAAAAAAAAAAAAAAAAAAACACTGAACAAAAAGTGCCGGGATTTCGATGCAAGATATGATGCCCGCCTGCATTATGAGCAGCTGAAAATCCAGAGAACCGTACAATAAGATGATCGCTACTTCGGAGAATTTCGCAACCAGGATGGTCCGGAAAATCGGTGCGGAGTGCCGAAATTAGCGAGATGCATCCAAATGACTGAGATGCATCTCATGGAAAATAAAAGCTAGACACAT